TACATATAGGAGTATCTATACTCATGTGAGGGGCTCTGGTGGCTCTTGCAGGTAATCATTGGACTAACTACAAGGTTAGTGGTTCAAACCCACCACTCACTCTGCTGGGGAAAACCAAACAAACTCACTCTCATCAAGTCCATTAAGAATCAGAGCAACCCGATACAGAGTTTATGAACCTGCAACTCTTTATCACAGCAGATAGCTTCAATTGTCTTTCTCAGAGTGGCTGGTGGGTTTGAACTGCTGACCTTTCTTTTAGAAGTTGAATGTATACCAATAGCACTATTAGGGGTCCATGGGAGAAAGATAAGGCTATTTGATCTCATAAAAAGATTTATAGCATCAGAAACCCTATATAGAGTCATTATGAGTTGGAACCAACTTGATGGCCACGGGGTATATAGCATATATATACTCATCTGTGCCTACCCATGCATCCCTATACAACTACATAGGTAGCCATACCCTCATTTGTTGGTTATGGTTGGCATTGTTGCTTTGGTCATGATACGCTCATTATGCCCACATTTGTGCAAATTTCTCTTCACCAAAAATAACAAGTATCTGCATTCTAGAATAAATGTGCCTCCCTCTTCTACCTAACTACCATTGAACCTTAGAGTCTCTACTTGTCTTGATATAAAAGTGGAATCATATAATATTGAAATCTTTATTTTTAATAAACAAATAAATACAAGTATAAGCATATTGAATCCGATTTTAGTTCCTAAGTGATCATAAGTACAGTTATTAGATTGTTTTCAGCCTCCATGATGCTTTCACAAATTCCTGTTTCTCTGTTGTTGAAATTACACTTTGAAACAAAAATAACTCACTCTTTCTAATATTCTTTATTAAATTACTGATTCAGTCATAGAATCTTAGGCTTGGAAGAATCACTGGGGATCCTCAGGCCCCACTATGAACTCAGTAAAGGAATCCTCCACCTCAATACTTCTAATAGTTTGAAATCTAATCACTGTCTGAAATCCTCAATGACAGGAAGCTCCTATCAGTCAATTGGTGGTTGATGCCATTTTGTTTAGTTTGATACCAAGTAGAAAGAAAATATTTTGAAAAAGCTAATGGCAACATATATACAAATGTGCTTGACACAACTGATGCACGTGTGGATGGTGATAAGAGCAGTAAGAGCCTCCAATAAAATGATAGAAAAATAACAACAACAAAACCCACTGTTGTCATGTTGATTCCACCGCATCAGAACTCTACATTGGGTTTCAAAGCCTGAAACTCTTCCCCAGAGTAAGTGGACTCCTCTTTCTACTGTGGAGCAGCTGGTGATTTTGAACTGCTGAACTTGTGGTTAGTTGTCTAGTATGTTCCTAACAGTACCATTAAGGCTACCAACTTCCAGTCTTTATACTGTCTTCTCAATTACAGTCGTCTAGATTTCAACGTGCTCTACTCTCCCCTTATGTTTTCTCTTTTTATGGCCTAACATGACTGGTACCTTTACGACTCATAATTTTTCATATTATTATGATTTTCAACATTTAGTTTTTCTCTTACAGAGTCAATCTGTAATGTACTGAGTGAATGAGTCGCCTGATTCGTGATCGGGACTTGGATAAATAAAACTTCAAACCCACTGCTGACAAGTCGATACCAACGCAGAGTGACCCTTTAAGGCAGGGTAGACCTGGCCCCGTGCGTTTCCAAGACTGTAACTGTCCGTAAGGAAAGCCTCCTCTTTCTCCCACGGAGCAGCGGTGAGCGGATTTGGACGCCGTGTGCTTATTGGTAGTGTGGCTTGCAGCATTGTTTTCATCTGGCAGTCCCACGATTGCCTCATTAGTTTACAGTGAGCTTTTGTTCCATTAAATCTTAGGCTTTTTCACACGAAACGTTGCTAATTTTACATCTGACTTTACTTACTTACATCTTGGCTAAATTAAATCTTGTTTGGACTATAGGACTAGGAATTATGGAAGAGCGTTGTTCTTTCTCTGACTACTGATTTTCTCACAATGCAACTCTCTCTATATATATATATACATTCTTCTTCCTTATTCATGTTCTTCAGAAATGGAATGAGCTAGGAAAGTTTGGCTTATTAGATGCAAACTAAGAGCTCTGGCTATGTCAGCTCTGTCTCCACACAGGTGGCACTCTCCCAAGTGGTAATTGAAAGTTCATACTGTATCCAATACACTTGGTTGAGATTCAGAGGCACTGCAATTTGGAATTCAGGAAGATTTAACCGAGGACATGATGCCAAAGACTAGCTCTGAAAGATGAGTCTATTTCACCAGACCAGAGGGTAGGGAAAGAAGTGGCAGGGAGAATAATATTAAATGATAGGGTATAAAATCATTCTTATAATATAGGCATTACAATAAATCAGTTCAACCATTGCCTAACTCATGGCAACCCCGTGTGTGTCAGGGTACAACTGTGCTCTGGGGGTCCTCCAGGGCTGGTTCTTTGGGCCACAGTTTGCCAGACCATTCTTCTAAGGTCCCTTTGGGTGGACTAAAACTTACAACCATTCAGTAAGTAACGTCTGTATGTTAATCGTTGATGCTATTATTTAGTCTGTACTAAACAGAAGGTGAACATGTTTTACTGAAATAGAAATCCAGATAAAACAAGTGTGGTGGTAGGTAGGGTGGAGGCACATTGGAGGGATTTCAGGAGGCAAAGTACACAAGGCATGTGGTCAGACACATATCAAGGAAGAGTGAGAAAAAAGTGCCCAGACCGCTCCCAAATTCAGGCTACTACGACTGGATTGATGACTACTTTATTGGCTAAAATAGGTCACTCTGGAAGAAACACAGCTTTGAGATAGGAAGGGGTAGATATTATGAATTTGATTTTAAACATGTTGACTTTGAGATACTTTTGAGATGATCTATATACTTTGACCAAGTAAACCCTGGGGGGGGGGGGCATGAAAAGAATTATGACTGAAAATGTCCACTGCTGTGTTTTTTATTAATGTTGTTGTTGGTGGGTGCCATTGAGCCATCGCTCAGAGCAAGCTTAGGGACAGCCTAATAAACACGGCCTGTGCCTGCATCGCCCTCCCAACTGGTTATGTCTGAGCCCAGCGCTCCGGAGCCCAGGAGAAAAAAACAACCAGAGAAGACGCAATGGAGGCGATGTTAGTGTTGAATAAACTAGAGGAATGCTTAATAATCTTTATGAAACCTACCAAATAAAATGCTATTTAGCCATTAACATTTTTTATTTAAAAGTTTGTGGCAACATAGAAAATATAATAAAATACTGTTATTTAAAAAGAGAAAAATGATTTTGATATGACAAATGGTGTCAGAACAAATTAACAATTTTATTCATAGTCACAAAATAGTCCTCATATAAAAATTTTCTAATATTTGATACATTGAAATTATCCTGTGTGTAAATATAATTGTACATGTGTACTACGTATGCAGTTTCATTAACTAAAAATTGGGACTCAAATAATGTACAGACTTTGGAGGCAATTAATTACTTTATGCATTTGTTGAACTCTGAGGGATCCAGATATGTATGTACCTAACATTCATTTGGGTTTGATAATTCTGCCGTGTTAATATTGCACATCGTTCTCTAGCTGGTCATGTCCAGTATGGTCCATGACCTTGATGGTGGTGACATACGACTCTAGCACTGATGGTGACAGTGATGGTGGCGATGTACAAGAAAACATAGCAATTTACTATTTTCACATTTCTTTCTACAATTTGAAGGCGTGAATTATGAAAACCATGTTAAGGCAGTAGATAAAACAATGCATACTTTTCTATAAATTTAAAGATAACTTGTTGATTGAGAAGAAATTAGAGCTGACTTCCAAATGCAAAACAAACAAACAGAAATGTACATTACAGTAAGACTGGAAAGTATAATTAAACCATATTAATAATTAATCTCAACACCAGAAATAAATCTTGTAGATTATATTCTCATTATATTTTCAGTTATATATTTAACATGTCACTGGTCTTTTCCTTCAAAATCCTGATTTCAATAATTGACATGTACAACTAATAGTTAAATTGACCAAGCAGTTGAAATTTCAATTAAGGAAGCTTATGGTAGTTGATGGAAGGACCCCTGGTTTAGTGCATCGGTTTAGTGCTTGGCAGATTACCAAAGGATTGAAGGTATTAACCTACCCCAAAATTCGATGGGAAAAAGATTTACTAATCTACTCCCAGAAATATTACATCTTAGAAAACTCTATGGGGCAAGTCTACTCAATTACATAGGGTCAGTCCAGGAGAATATTATTAAATTATAGGGTATAAAAAGCATTCTTTTAATATAGGCCTTACAATAAATCAGTTAAACCAGTTGCCTCTAACTCATGGCAACCCCATGTGTGTCAGGGTACAACTGTGCTGCCTGAGTCCTCCAGGGCTGGGTTTTTGGACAGCAGATCGCCCGATGTCCACTCTCATCATTGCTCATAGATGAGTCAGATATGGACTTGATAGCAATAACCTAATAAATGACGTAGTGCTTGATGAATTCCCTTGCTGTAAAAATGGTTAAGCATGAAGACTTCTACTTGAAAGGTTGGTGATGGGATCCACCAACAGGTGCTTTTGAAGACAGGGCTGGTGAGCTGCTTCTAAAAGGTCAGCGTTCTACTCTGCGCATGTGAGGCCATCATGATTCAAAACAGAATCCATAGCAACTAACAATCACCTGAGAGTTGAATTTCCATAGCAAAGGCATATAAGCTTCATTGGTGTTGGTTCCATTATGAATAATATATTCATTATGACATAACTTCATTCTTATGTACCTACTAATCTTGTAATATTCGGTTCATTAATGTCCTCTCCATGTTTACAAAGCAAAGGAAAGGCTAATTTAGTTTAACATTGCATTGCTATTAAGCATCATAACTCACCTACATCTTGACCATTTTACTGGAACATGATACAGACATGCATACGATACTGCATTCACTAAAGATCATTTATAAAAATTTAAAATAATTTAAATGTACTTACTTGAAATAAAAGAATATGCCAAGCGAGATAAGTAGTGATGCAATGGATAATCCATGTCCAATGATAGTCAGGTAAAACAAATTCATTGCAGTCTATAATTTGTACAAATCAAGCACAATTTATTTACATAAACAAAAATGAAAGCTCCTATCAATATGATAAGTACTTATAATACTATTTGTTCAGAAACACAAATTCCTTTCAATATGTTTTTAAAAAACATGTGGTAACTGATCTACATAAATGTTTTCTATCTCCTACTCTTACATTTTTGCCTATATTCCGCTCATTTATAATTTACTATGAGTTTTATTACATATTATTATAATACTTTTAAAATGATTCACTGATGAAAGTGGGAGATACATTAATAATATTAAGTATAACTATTAATATCACAGGCTTTCTCTGTGGAGGCAAGTTTAATGTATTTTCTTTGTATTGTGTCAGTCCTTGGGAAAACTTAAGGGTGGAGTCTATCATTAACCCCATTTTGTATTGAGGGACTAGACTCAACTAGAAAGAGTTAAAAAGCTTCCACAGATCACACAACTGGTAAAGGCAGAGAAACTTACAGTCATATATCCGAACTCAAAGTTTTGACTACTGTAACACTATCATATGTGTGTGTGTGCAAATCTATATTTACATAAACTATTATTATCTTTACAATTGTAACTTTGACCTTAATAAAGGCCTACTGGGCTGATCTTGTTTACTTGAGTCCAATTCCTGAAGGTAATTTTAGAAATTCAACCACAAATAAAAAGTTCTTTAGCTTCTTCTCATCCGTTTAGAATGTTTTCTTTGTAAAATTTAATACCTCAATACTGAGACATTGACTTGTAAATACACTATTACATGACAGGTTTGCTTCCTTTTGCTTTTGTTAAAGGTGGGTTTTTTTTTGTTTTTCCATTCCATTGTTCTCAAAATACATGGTGAACCATCTTTATAAAGAAAGGAATGGAATGCTGGCTAAATTTTTTCCAATACTGTATTGGGCAAATGGCTTTTTAAATAGATTGTGCATGCACATTAAATTTCATCCACAATGAATACTGACCTTCAATCTCTCATGGGTGTTAAGATTACACTGGGTGTAATCTGTCCATGTTCTATTACTTGCTGGATGTCTAAACCAGTTTCCATCTGGGTCACAAATCTTTGTTACTTTTTCTTTATTTAAAAATTAAAAACAGAAAGAGGGAGAGGATCACTGAATTAACCTAGGGTTTATTAAGTAGATGTCTAGGACATTTGTATGTAAAATACTGCTTTCACCTGAAGGGTCAAAGTCCTGAAAGTAGTCAGGACAGTGCTGCATTGATTCCGTTCCGGCTGCAACATCATTCCAACACAGCCATCCATCCCAGGTTCTGTTGCAGTAGAGACCTTAAAGGAGAATGGGAAAAAGTTTGTTAAGAAAAACTAAACCGCTGTCTCTACCTATACAAGAAGATATAAAAGTTTTAATGATGGTTTCATGATGGCTAAAAATAAAGACTCCCTACTCAAAATACAGATATGGTATAGATTCCATAGCAAGTACTTGGATCTTTCACCTAGTTTTTATTAAACTACAGGAGCCCTATTGGTGAAGTGATTGTGAATTTGAGGTCCAGATGAAAAGCCAGCAGTCAGCTAAGTGTCACCATCAACTCAAAGAGAGTGAGTTTGTTTTTCAGTTATTATTAAAACAAGAAGCCCTGGTAGCTCATGATTAGAGAACACAGCCGCTAATTGAAAAGCCATCTGTTCAAATTCATCATCATCTCTACAGGAGAAAGATTCACATTCTGTTTCTGTAAAGATTACAGCCTTGGATACCCTATAAGGGCACTTATACATACATATAATATTAGAAATTACTATTGGTAATTATTCCTACAGTTGTCAAGGACTTTGTCTTGCTTGAATCCACAATCCCTGCTCATGGAAGTAGCAGTCAAGAGATCAAACGATGTGTTGTCTTGGGAAAATCTGTTGTACAAGATCTTTTTTTTTTTAAATCATTTTATTGGGGGCTCATACAACTCATCACAATCCATCCATCCATCCATTGTGTCTATCACATTTGTACATTTCCCTCATCATTCTCAAAACATTTTATTACTATTTGAGCCTTTGGCATCAGCTCCCCATTTTTCCTCTTCTTCCCCCTCCCTCCCTCCTTCCATCATGAACCCTTGATAATTTATAAATCATTATTATTTTTCCATGTCTTGAACTGTCCAATGTCTCCCTTTACCCCACAAGACCTATTTAGACAGTTAAAAAGCAAGGCTATTACTTTGAGAAATAAGGTGCACCTGACCCAAGCCATGGTATTTTCAATCACTTCATATCCATGTGAAATTGGACACTGAATAAGAAAGATAAAAGAAAATCAATGAATTATGTGCTGGCAAGGAATGTTGAAAGTAGCATGGACTTAAAAGTCTGTCTTGGAAGAAAGATGGACACAGTTGTTCTTCGAAGCAGAGATGGCGAGACTTCATCTTGCATTTTGAACACATAGTCAGGGGAGATCAGTCTCTGGAGAAGGACCTCATGCTTGGTGAAGTAGAGGGGCAGCAGCAAGAATGAAGAAGGCCCTCCTTCAACAAGGTGGATTGACAGGTGACTGCAGCAATGGACTCATGCATAGCAACGTTCTGAGGATGGAGGAGGACTGTGCAGTGTTTCGTTCTATGGTACATCAGTTTGCTCTGGGTCAGAACCAAACCGGGGGCCCTAACCAACCACACCAACTTCCTTAGAGGTACAGGTTATCTAAAGGAATAAAATCAACTGATTGGCAATAATTATACTTAAAATATTGAAATTCTTTGACTTCTATGAATTCTAGAATCATAAATTTAATGCAAATCTAGAAAACCAGGTTACCTTATGATGATTAAGGATCTGTCAACTAGACACTCCTGACTGAGGGTAGAGGTAGAACTCAGCCTATCAATTGCATCGCAGCCGGATGAAACCTCCTTGGTGGCATAAGCCCGTTTGCATAGCAGAAGGCGACCCAGCAGAGTCAAATCCTCCTTGACCTTTCACCTTCTGCTGGAGCTGGCTCTTGCATCTGATTCTTTGGTCTCCTGTTGCATCACATGCTGATTCAGAAGCCATCAGTGGTGGACTCATTCTGCTGACGTTGGTCTTCCCCATTCACCAGCTCATGTGCCCTGATGTCTCTGCTTCCTCATCTTGCTCTGGCTCCTAGATCTCCTGTTGTGCCACCTGCTGATCCCAGGAGCAGTCAGCCACTTCCTCTGGTAGATTCATTCAGCTGCCTTTGGACCTCTGCATCCACGTGTCTGTTGTCTCGGCTTCATTCTCCTGCTTCCTGTTCATCAGCTGCCATGAGTCAGAAGCCTGGCTTGACCAGACTATACTTAACTATTTCTACAACTAGGTAAGCCATTTCTTGATATAATCTTGATATAAGTCTCTTTCTATATACAACACTCATGCCAAACCTATATCGTATGTTAATTGTGTCATGTTAGGCGCAGGCATGATTTTATTATTGTCTTTGGTGATGATTGGGTTCCAGACTTACATACAAGTGTCGAGTGGACAAGGGATTATCTGTGATGGTTAGGGATTATGTCAACTAGACACTCCTAGGCGGAGCTCAGTTTATCAGTCGTGTCACAGACTGATGACACCTCCTTGGTGTCATAAGCTGTTTTGTATAAGAGAGAGACTGAGCAGAGTCAAATCTAAGTTGGTTCTTCATCTTCTTCCGGGGCTGGATCTTGCCTGTGGTTCCTCCATCTCCTGTTGTGTCTCCTGTCTAGCCCTGGAGTCACCATTGACTATCGATGGTGCATTCATTTGGCTGATTTGGTTTCATCCATCAGCCTGTGCACCCTCCTTTCTGGCTTCATCATCTTACTTCCTGTTATTCAGCCTCCATGAGTTAAGAGAAGCCTAACTAAAATCAGACTAGACTAACCTATTTCTACAACTGCATGAATTATTTCTTGAGGCAAATTTCTTTTGATACACCACACATCCAAGTGTTGCTTCTCTAGAGAACCCAACCAACACATTCCTTAAATGTAGACTATTTATCATGAATTTGTGTATTGCAATATTTCATTCATTTTCAGTTTATTTTTTATGAGGGGCAAAAACACAGTGGAATTTTTTCTCCAAATTGTTTTTCAATATTTTGTTTTTCCACTAATTTTATATCCTTGGAATTGAATCGGGAAATATTGTATGGAAGATAATTTATATTCTATCTCGTAAAAACTAACAAACTTACTGTCATCAAGTTCATTCCAACTCCTAGCAACCCTGTAGGACAATGTCGACTGTCCCCATGGGTTTCTGAGCCTGTAACTCTCAAGGAGCATAGAAAGTCCCTGTGGAGCGGCTGTTCATGTTCTATGGTTACCAGCCCTTGGTGAGAACATTCGACACTACTCGGGCTCTTTTTATCTATCTAATGTAGCTTAAATATTAATCCTTAATAATAAATATGCTCAGTAAATCAAGTCATCTTTGCTTATTTACCTTAATCATAGAAAAGCAGTCCCTTAAAAATGTTTGTGGGGTCAAATAGACTTGGGAAACCTTAAGTTAAAATAAAGACAGATTTTTATCACCAACTTGCTGGAGTATTAGAATTATGGAAGGTGTTAAGAAACTTCAGGATGATTTGCTGTGCCACGATCCTAAACTTACTTGACTATGGAATTATGGTATCATCAAACTCTTCTATATATACTCCTATAGCTAAACAATTTAATTTGAAAGCTACTTTTAAATACTTCTAAATGACTAGGAAGCTATTAATTCAATAAAATCATGACAAAACCAAACCCACTGTCATTGAGTTAAGTCACACTTACCCCCATAGGGTTTTCAGACTAAAAGTACCATATATACTTGAGTGTAAGCCAGCCTGAATATCCACCGAGCCACCTACTTTTACCACAAAAATTGCATAAGAATTTGCTGGAAAAACTTGGCTTATACTCAAGTATATAGGTATATATTTTCTTTTTCTATCATTTGCAATGATGTTACAGAACGCACATACACATACTTTAAAACATTATTTTTAGGGGACTGTACATCTTTCAGGGTGTAAATAGCATCACATTTCTACTGTGGAGCAGTTGGCGGGTTGGAACAATTGGCAATGTGATGAGCACCCCAACCTCCAACACCACCAGTGCTACTGAAGCAATGACATTTAGAATTAAATGGATTGATATGAAAACTGAGGTGCATTAATACAGAATTTGTAAACAAATATTTTAAATTACAATATGTAATAAAGTACATATTGACCTATATGAGAATAATCATTTTGGGGAATAATTAAAAAAATAGTTTTAACTAAATAAATTTCTTACAGGAATAATATTGGAACAAATATAACACAAATAGCTTTTCAAAGAGAAACACACGATATTGTTCAGTAAAAGAGATTTCGATTAGTTGACCAACATTTATAAATAATACGAATCACAAATAATAATAATTTACCCTTAAAATTTCATTTAAATAACATTGTTTACAGTACTATTGATTTTTTAAAAATTTTTCCCACAATTATTGTACAGGTATCCTGTCATTAGTCAGACGCTACTATCTATCTTTTAAAAAAATTGTGTTTGTCTTTTGCTATACCAGGAAATTCTATTTCTTTTACTTATCTTTATATCTTCAGAATCCAGGAAAATGGCATTAGTAGGTCCTCAATAAATGTTATAAAGCAATGAAAATAACACCTTTATGGAAACAGAAGCACTTAGTGGTTTTAAACAAAGAATGTGCTATTCAAAGTTATGTATTATGTTGTTTTTCATTATTTCGTTATGCAAAGTTCTAGACAACCAGCTTGTGAAAAAAATAAATTCATATTCCCTGATGTCCACAATTGATTTAACTAAAGAAGCACACTTTTGGGCAATTTTTATGTGATAAAAATAATGTTACTAAAAGGCTCACTGTTACCTATCATATTATTTATCAGATTTTGTTTAAAGGGTGGATTAAATGATATATTTTCTTAAATATTTTTCCAGACAAATGAATTAATACTCATGTACTAGTAAAACTAATATTTACCCTTAGCATATAGCTTAAGATCCCATAATGATGTAATGAGATTGTTTTATTTTTAAAATACATCACAATGTATTTAAGAATTAAATAGTCATACTTGCCGTCAGTTTGGGGAATAGGGTCTTGCATAATTTTTTGGTAACACTCATACTGAGCTGTCATGATTTTATTTTTAGTGACGCCCAACTGAAGTATGCCGCCTTCATGCCTTTGTATCTCATTTGATTGTGCTATGACAAGAATCTAAAAGATTTAAAAACAGAAGTTCAGAATTGTGAAAATATCTTTTTCAAGGTAGTCTGTCACAGTGGAAAGCAGCAAGTAAAATAGTGTGTTTTCCTGGCAAAGTGGTTTTCTGAAAAATCCTCATCTGTAGTGTTCATTTTCAGGCTATAAATATTTCCACCATGCCAAATTTCTAGCTACCAATGAGACATCACTTATCAATGTTGGAGGTGGAAACGGAATCAGCCTAGGAGACTTAACTCCCGTGCAGATTTCACTGTGTTCTGGAATGCAGACACAAATGTATTCAAAACGCACCTCTAGTTTCTTACCTGCTCTGTGAATGGAGGCAAGCTAGTCCACCTCTATACCCTCTACTTACTAACTGTAAAGTGGTATAGAAATGAAATGAAGATGAAAAGGGGAAAATAATAAAACATTTTTAAAAGGGAAAGTGTTTTCTGGTATACTGAAAATACTCAAAAGAGTATTACCATTTTCACCATGGTATTTTGACAAGCAAAATAATAGCAAGTTCATTTACACTGTTGGTAAATAAAAATTGTATTGTTTGCTCATTACTCGAGGTTTGGGGTTAGTTATATATTTGTGCTATTCCAATTTAATAGTACACATTTACATAACATTTTCACTTCCATTTCTACTGATTCCCACCCCACCTCTGTTTTATAAGATGAAAACTTCCATCCACCCCAGTGCTATAGATTTGATTCTGGGGCTACAAATATTTATGGGAGCAGGTAGCCTCAACTTCCCCCAACTATTCTGTTGGTGAAATTGCTTGGACCACTAGCCTTCTAGCTCCTTCAAACTTCCATAGCAGTTTCCTTCTGTTCTCACCCGGCCCCCATTCTTAAAGTTCCAGCAGGAAGTTGGACGTGGCAAAGTGGACATAATATTTGTCAAAACATACCCCATCACCTAACCACCATTTGATCTTAATGTGTCCACTCAGGCTTACTTTCCAAGGAAAATGTTTATGCAGCGGTTGTATTTTACAATAAATGGAGATTTACAGAAGCAACATTAGTATTTTAAAGATGCAGCTCTTGCTCTGCTGAACAGGGGAACTTACTACAGTTGCATAAATTAAAGATCTTTTCCCTTCGATGAATCACTAAGTGCAAGACAAATGGTGCTGATTGCTTCAATTCTGATTCAATTACAATAATCAGATGGGTAATCTGTTACAGAATTTTTTGGGGGGAAACCAGTGTTGGGCTCTATAGTTCATTGGCAGGTTCAATGGAGGGGCTGAGCTAAAGCAACAGGAGTCCGATCCCTGGAGTTCTCGTCTATTGATGTAAGATAGCATCTAAGAAGTGCAGAATTTGGACGGCTTCTAGACTTGAGAATGTTTGCAGACACAATTGCCTGCAGGAACGCAGTCTCCCTTTGCTCCCTCTCCTTTAGATTTCTGTGCTTTTCTTGACTTTTCTCGTGTGGCTCTTTGGGGCTTTGTTTGGAAAAAGCACATGAAAATGATTGGCTGACACAAAGGCAGAGGAGATTATGTCTCTCAGTTTCTCATGTGAAGTAAGGAAAACTGAGTAAAATAACACCTCTCTACAAATAAAAATTGAATTTATATGGCATATAACTCCTCTAGTAAAACCATTGATTTGAGGCCTCCATCATTGACCCTTTACCTCTAGCCTCATCCTCACAGGCAGAGAGGTGTGTTCATGGGCAGAAAAACACACTCACAGGCACGGTCTCAAACTGAGCTCCAACACTGGCCCAAAGTGACATTTAACACGTATTGGACTGCATGGTTGTAGAACCAGTGGAAAACACCAAGCAGAGTTTGGAACTCCATTTGCGTCAATTTACCTTAATCAAAGAAATGTCAGTAGGATGGAATCTGTTCTTTTAATAACCTAAAGCAAATTAGTCTGGTTTTGTTGGAAATGTCGTAGCTACTATATATGACTATTACACGTCAGTGGGAAGAAGATGAGGCTCTCTCCTCCTACAGCCTTGGGCACCCACAGAGGCGGTCCACTCTGTCCTACGTGCTTGCTGTGAATCAGAACTGAGTCCACAGCAGAGAGTTTTGATTCTGGTTATCCATTCACACACATTCTGCTCCATGACCCCCGCGGGAGAGCCTGTATTCACTGAGAGAAGTAGACTACGGCTGCCACAATCAAAATTGTAAAGTATAATTAATATATGCACCCAAGACTCCACACGTTTATCAATCATTAACCATTAGAAGCATACTAGCAGTTAAAAACAGAAATCAAAATAAATAAGGAGATATATTAGAAAATGTATGCTTACCGTAAAAATAGGCAAGAGACACAGAAAATTCAAGATAAACTTTTTCTTCATCATTGAAGCCAAAATAAAGTATACTATATAAATCAAACTGCATTAGAAAATGAAAAAAAAGCTCATCAATATTTATTAAAAGCATATAGGTGGGTCTAAACAGAAAATTTCTTTTAAAACTAAACAAAATTTTATTTTAAGGATTTGATTAGCAGTCTTATACATGAGACATATGGCATCATGGTTTGAAATATTAAAAATATTAATAAATTTTCATCTATATTTAAGTAACCTTACACATAGGAAAGTTCCTTACATATATATTGAAGTAATTGGAAAATATCTTGACTTATTTACCTTTAAGAAAAATGAGATAAGTGATTAAAATATCAAAATAAAAGTTTCTACATAAGCAGAAAAATTAATGTTTTGAAAGAACTTTAATATAAAACTTTTTATTATTATACAAAATAATTTTCATCTTATGGCCCTTAGTAATAGAAGGACTGCATTTTTCTCATTTCAGTTCCTTTAGAATCAACATTCATATCATAAAAATGACTTTATAATTTATTAGAAATTATTCTTCACTGCTTAGTGCCAATGCTCTGTTTTGTTTGCTTTAATCGGGATATGCAAAATCCCCTAAGTCATCTACATTATTGAAAGGAGGATTCAGTATTTGGACACACCTAACGAAAGTATTTCTGTTTAAAGATTTCTACTGTGATATACAATTTTGAGGTAATGAAAAACAGCCTGTAAGTGAGATTATCCTCTAGCGCAGTGGTTCTCAACGACCCTTTGGGGGTTGAACGACCTTTCACAGGGGTCACCTAAGACCATCCGAAAACGCCTATTTCCGAGGGTCTTAAGCACCGAGACGCCGCCCCTCTGTCGTCTCCAGGCGGGTCCCCCACATGCAGATACGCCCACCTGCGAGTCCCTGGCCTGAAGACTGTTGCCCATGCTACACCATGCCACACCAAGACACAGTGCCATTTATTTGTCATTAGAAATAAATATTTCACATTATGTAATTAATTATATATTGTTTTGTGATGAATCGCTGCTTTAATGATGTTCAATTTGTAACAATGAAAATACATCCTGCCTATCAGATATTTACATGACGATTCATAACAGTAGCAAAATGACAGTTATGAAGTAGCAACGAAAATAATGTTGTAGTTGGGGGTCACCACAACCGAGGAACTGTATCACAGGGTTGTAGCATAACAAAAGTCGAGAACCGCTGCTCCAGCCTTTTAATTCTAAAAGGTGAAAATCGCTGAGGCGTGTGACTGTTTACTCCTCATGAAGTCCAGGAGTAACCAACTCTGACATTTGTGAGAGATGAACTGTTGTATTACAGCCATAAAAATACAACCTCATTTATTTGAATGTGAATCAAAATCTTTTCCACAGGAGACATAAACATTATAATCATCAGATATTTGCTATTGAACTATAAACAGAGTTAATCCTGCTTAAGAGCTTGTCATCATTTTTGCTATAGAACTAACGTTGGAGTAAGAATTTAAACATTCAGTTTCAGATGCTATGTTACTGATCTTTTTCAAATCCTACTCGGGCAGAACCAGGGGCACCACTGTTGTACTGGCTCATGAATTGAGCTACTGACTGCAAGGTCAGCAGGAAAGTCATCACTGAGGACATGCAATCGCTGCCGTGGTTTGTCAGCATCCAGGACTTACCTCGCAGCAGTTTCTTTGTGTACAAACTTTGTGTTAGGGTTCTCTTCTATCACTTACACTGGGTTCTTCTTAGTGACCTTAAAAGAAAACTATAACTAAGAAATCAGAAGGAAATGTATTAATTTTAAATAAAACGAAAAGTGTAGCATGGAAAAAAATGTAGCATGTAGCCTTTGAATAGAAGACAAACAATGAATCAGAGTTTCTGCAATTAAGTAATTAATGAGTTGATGTTTTATTTTACATTACATTTTGCCAGGAGAAAATCTCATTTTGCAATACTTACATGTACAATTATCTCCAGACTCAAATCACATTTTATCTTGGATCATATTTGACATTGTCTTGAAGAATCTGGTAAATCCAGAGGTCATGACCTGAAAATTGATTAATATAGTAATTTAGTATTAGTTTTATGAGCCAAAATTATTTACAAGATAAACTGAAAGTGTCAAGCTACATAATTCCAAGATGATATTTTTATGTAGACATTAGCATTTTTTAATTGCTTAGTTTAGGCTATATTTGAATTGTTACATATTAGTACCTTCATTACGAATAATACTTCAGTATTAGCCAAAGCTGAATAGTAAGCACATATGTGTTTTAGAAATATGAGAGGGCTGCAAAAAGTTCATGGACAGACATGATAAAAAGATAACAGAACTTTTGCATGAACTTTTTGGAGCCGCTTCATAAATATACTTCCTATCATGAACGATTTTGAAAATGAACATGATCTTTACACACAAAAATTATTGATTTTTAAGCATAATTATATTCTTTTTAATGGAAAATTATGAAATATTTATATCAGGCATTTTATGGAAATATAAATTAGGAAATACACACACATACAGGGCAAAAGTTCCATTAAGTATCCCCTAGCAGTCCAGTGGTGGAGTGGTTATATGGTGGGTTACTAACCACAAGGTTTGCAGTTTGAAACTACTCCTTGGGGAAAAGACAAACCTTTTTCATTCACGCATTGGTCACAGTATCAGAAACCCACAGGGGCAGCTCTACCCTGTCTTATAGGGCTGCTGTCAAGTTGGCATCGATTTGTTGGCTGTGAGTTTGCGGCTTTTGTTTTTGAAAAAGAGAAAGAGGAGAAGATGTAGTGGTCTGTCTCCTTATGTTGTTGTTATTATTGTTAAGTGACAACGACTCTGTCCTTACTTAGAGGAGTCCTATGTACAAAAGGATGTCACACTGGCTAGTCTTTCACAATCTTCATAATCATTGCTTTCAGTCCATTGTAGCTGCCCCTGTGTCAATCCATCTCCCTGAAAGACTTCCTTTTTTTTTTTTGCTGACTATTTCTTTATGCCAAGCGTAAATGTTGCCTGGAACTGTGTCTCACAACTGGTGGTATGTGGTATGCCAGCGCCAACTGTGGCTCCTACTGTGTCATTGAGTCTTCCTCATTTTCTACTGACCCTTACAAAATTTGATTCCCTTTCTAGTGATTTCTGTTCCAAAACCTACAAAAATATTACAAGCCCGTTAAATGAATAAATACTTTTTTACAGATATATGAATTGTAATATGTAGTTACAATATTGTCATAATATATGTTATTCTCTGCTAGAAAAAATTACTTTCCATAAATTTTCATTTATCTAAGATGTTTGAGAAATTGGGCAGTTTAAATACTTAAAAATGTTTAAAAGAACTAGAATGCAAAAATGACTTTTAAGTTATTCTTAAATTAGAAACACATATTGAGCTGATCATTTCTTGAGCATATTATTATATTAATGAATATACATTTCCTTCAGTAATAATGCTTCTCAAAGACAGAAACTTTATCTGATTGATCTTGGCATCCGTTGAGATTGGCAGTTAATAAATGTTGATTATATCAATGAATACATAGATAAATATATCAGAACATTATTTTCAGATCTTAAAATTAAAATCAAGAACACCAATCATAACAATGAATTCATGGTCATTTTACTTGTGAGAAGTTTTTGGACAGTGCTTGATCTGGAATAACAAAGAATATTGAAAAACAACACAACAAACTTATCAGTATGTTCACTTTCAAACCAAATAAAGTCCTATTCTTTATTCAACCTCTGTGATTATTGAATATTAAATAAAGCACAGTTTACTGTATTGGATTTGGAAGATACAAAGACTAAGCCCATATTTTAAAAATTAGTAGTTCATAAATTTGTGCATTAAAAGTGTAGTTTAAATAGCCAAATAAGAATATAAAAACATTGTATTAAGAATCATATTTTTACAAAATCATGCTTTGATGACTTACATATGAATCAAGATTAAAGTACCCTTAATATGTGAATGGGCTAAAAAAATTGATAAAGTGCTGCAAAACATATTTTGATCTTTCCTAAGCCCAATACCTAACAGTAATACTTATTTTTGTTGCTTACCTAGTATGCTTTCTTCTATGAAATGGAAAAGAGAGAGCGACAGAGACAGAGGGAGTGAGGGTGAGAGAGAGAGAGAGATTTGTGAGTGAGACTTGATCTCATGTACTTAGCATATGCTATCTGGAGGGACCACTCCCTGGAAAAGCTGGGATGCGATGTGCAGTCTGCAGTTTGAAACCACTAGCCATTTCGTGGGAGAAAGATGGGGCTTTCTATGCAAGTGAATAATTATGAGTCTAGGAAAGTCACTTTTTGGTGTTCTAACTCAAAGTCGTCGCACATTTAATTATAATAATTCATTTTGTCTTCTAGAGCTGCCCTTTGGCATTTTACGTCATAATTTCTTCTAGTTGCCTTTGCTACTGTCCAATTCACAGCAAATTTCAGAGTCTCTTCAGACATCCACCTGGGTCTTCTCTTTCTTTCCTGTCTTTTAATTGGCATTGGGCGTTTTCATCCATGATGTCTTTTACCTCGGAGCACAGCTCATCAGATCTCCTGTCATTAGTGCTCGGGGGTCAACTATGTCCTCAGATGATCTCTAAATTAGGTGGAATATACTCAAAGTTATATTTTGCCTCTCCTAGACTTGTTTTACTTTTCTCTAGCTTCAACTTGAACTTACAGATAAGTAATTGATGGATTATTCCACTATCAGCCCCTGGCCTTGTTTGGGTGTGCTGAGCTTCTCCATCTTCTCTTCCGAGAGATACAAGAAATTTGATTTTGTGTATTCCATCAGGCAATATCCAAGCCATTGGTCTTGAAAAACCCTATAACGTGATCTTCACCTACATTTCTAGTACCAAGGTCATATTTCCAACTATTATTCCTTCCTCTTTGTTTCCAACTTTTGTGCTTCAATCGCGAATTATTATCTTGATTTATTACCTTGCGAATTAGTATCTTGATTGCATATTTGATCAATATCAGACTGAAGACTTTGGTAGAATTCTTCCAACTTTAATGGTCGGTGCATAAATCTGAATAATACTTGTACTAGCTGCATTTTCTTGCATGTGTATAGATAATATCCTATCACTTACAGCATTGTACTTTAAGATAGATCTTGACATGTCCGTTTTGGATGATGCGTGATACTATTCCATACTTCCTACATTATGAGTTCCAATTATTTTTAGATGTGTACAGCTGTTTCTTCTTGTTTTGAGTCTTTCCCCATCAGTGAATGGGCTGTGCTCTGAGAGGGCAGCTCTTACTCAGCCATGTTGGGAGAGCCTCTGCCCGAGAGGCTTATCTTCTGGCGCTGTAGCTGACCGAGCTCCATTGCAGCTTACGAGGTTTTCAGGATCTGGCAAGGTTCCACGGCTACTCCTAAGGTTTTCAGTGGCTAATTCCTTTGGAGCAGACAGTCTATTTTTCATAGTCTGTTCTTAGTCTGGAAATATTTCCAATTAAATTTTGAGGAAAGACCTAGTAAATAAAAAAGACATGCTGAGTGATTAGGTGTGCCAGTGGATTTTTTCCCCAGAGTGATTAGATTGCTCGGTAGGAAAAGGATTTCTTAAAAAACTGGGAATACTCTAACTTTGTTCCTAGGGAAGTTTTTCATCACAGTGGCAGTACTAACTTCTTAATTCATTGATTATAAATACCACAATTCTCACTTCTCAAAACTGAACATAGTGTAACATTTGTTTCTGCCACTGAAAAATAAGGGCAATAGTCCTTACTGCATCTATAGAATGCAAATTAACTTTTTATAGAAATATTCCCTAAGCTTTTGCCCAAAGAATCTTTAAAGTGAAACGATTCCGTTTCATTAGAGAGAGGACAGGTGAGAGAGCAATTTCAAATGCTGTGGGCGACATGTAGTTACTCAAAAAGGGGAGCAAGGGTGGCCCCAGAGCTCAGAAGCATGCCTGCTAAGCTGAAGGCTGGCAGCCCCTAACCACCCAATGCTCTTTGGGAGGAAGGAGCACCGGTTTACACCCACCATGTTTTACAGCCTTGAAAACCCTACCTCCTCAGTTCTACAGGTTAGAATGGACTAACGGGCACTAGGGTTAGTCACGGGTCTTTGTGTAAACTCTTCTGATTTTATTTCCTAAATTTAACATAAAACAACAAAACAAACTCCCTGCCATCAAGTTGATGTTGTTCTATAGGACAAGTTAGAACCGCCCCTGTAAGTTTTTGAGACTATAAGTCTTTGCCGGAGTATAACGCCTCACCTTTCTCACTTGGAGGAGTTGGTGGTTTCGAACTATTGACCTTGTAGTTAGTCTAATACATAACCACTAGGCCACCAGGGTTGATTTTTGTTTTTAATGCATCTACATTTCTAAATTCACAGTTTTATAGGGACAACACCATTGGTTTACTGTCATTAGTATCAAAATATATTTTACTATATAACAAAATTGTGACTAAGTGTGACTAAATTAACATTAACTTTTAAATCAAAGCCGAAAAACCACAAATTCTCTACATTTAAGTCTACTCTTATTTTCTCAAATTTTTATTATCCTTATACAAATCTCCAGGACTTTATTTTTCTTTAAATAATCCTTATTTTTAGTTGCGTTCACCACCCTGATATTATGACATGTATGTTCAGCCTAAGATTAAGGGGAAAGAACCTTTCATTTTTCACTCCTCCGTTTCCAGAATATCTTAGATTTGTATAGGCCATGAGTCATAGTCTTTTTCCCTTGATCTATCCAGTCACTGGAGAGTTCGATAGCTGAAGTATTTCCCACACATATCTTATTTGCCATTTAGTATCCTGCACTTTTATATGAACAAAGCTAGGGGGATTCTTATCTAATACTGACTTTACATCACTTAAGGCATATTGATCAATGAATAAGGGACGGACCACATTGCTCTTGAATGAAAGTAAGGAATAAGCATTCTTTTCCAAATTGTATATTCCAAATCTGACAACAAATGGTCATATGTTTCTCCATTGTGTGGAATAGATCGTTCCGTTGTTGGGGTGGAGGTGA